GATTTCCATTACGCTTTTGATGCAACTTTGGATGGGTGCAACTTAGATGTGACTTTGGCTGTTGACTTTGGCTTTGCCTGTTGCACCGATAACATTAAGGTGTGACTTTCATGCGACTTTTGAAAGTTTAAATTGTAGTCTATGGCACTCAAGTTGCATGAAAGTCGCATCAAAGTAGTGCAGGCACCTTTTTAAAGTCACTGTGATTTTAAGTTGCATGTATTTGAATAGCTTCTTTTGAGATATATGGGCTGAAATTTGTTGTGCGACTTTTTGTCCAAAATGCAAGTTTACATCCCAAACGCTCATGGGGCAGGGCCAGGCTCATTTCACTTCACTCTGGTGGATGGTTTTCTTAAATAGTTCTCCAGTTTCTGTCACAATTTGTCACATGCCTGATGAAGGGGTCCTGCGAGACTCCGAAACGTTGCCTTGCTGTAACTATGTGATTGTTCATTAAAACTATTGGACCCATATTGGTGATCCTCGGTGTGCTGGCGACATTTTCCCTTTATGTGTCCAAAGTAGCATAACAAGTCACATGAGCGTGAATGGAGCCTTAATCTCTTTTTAATCCGTTCCTAATTTGCAAAGCTATGGTTTAAACAAACGAAAGTATCAGAGAAAGGGGTAAATTGACTGAACCCTCTGATCAAGCACAGTTGCAGGGCTTACTGAATACCATTGATATCTCGCCAATCACTTTCAACTATTAGCTGCAATTGCTTGTCAAAGCCTAGCTGTGCTTTCGGTATGCACAAATGTGTGGTTGATTTACAAAGGCAAACAGGCTGCCACTTTTGTAAGTGAATTTTCCCCAGGGCTTAGTGAATGAGGTGAGCTGATTTCCATCAACCAGTCATTTGCAAGCAAAAATTCAGTTTTTTTTTTCATTTTCCTTGCACTTCATTGGGTATTCTTTGCAATGTGAAATTTCTCCAGATTTACTAAGCTCTGAGGAAAATTCCTCTGCATGGTGCAACATCTGTATGTGTCTTTAGTAAATTAGTGGGCAGCACAGTGGCTAAATGGTTAGCAGTTCTGCCTGGCAGCACTAGGGACGTTGGTTCTCCCAGCGACTGCCTGCATGTTCTCTCTGTGCCTGCGTGGGTTTCCTCCAGGTACTCTGGTTTCCTAGACATGGACGTTGGTTATGTGTTTGTATGGAATGTTAGCATCTCCAGCTGACGGCACCACCTCTGCCTGGAGTTTCTGCAGAATGTGCTACACTCTGTGATTCCTGGATCGTGGGTTTCCTCCACACTCCAAAAGGTACTTTAGATGACTGCCTGGTAGACCCTTAGGATCAGCATACGATTCGTACCCCCACAGTGGATCCTGGCTCTCAAAGTCACAAAACGCATGTGTAAGTGTAGACTAAGGATTTTATTTAAAATTCAGCAACCGTCCACGGTATAAGGTGACCTATACCTGTAGAGTTGAATGAATTTTAAATAAATCCTGTCCTATGAGTGCGTTAGGCCACTCTTCTCTCTGTGGGGTACGAATTATGTGATCCTAAGGAGAAGTACGCACATATAAGGAGGTCTGTTGTAAAGCATGTCCAGGGGGGAATCTATAATTCATTTATCTGTGCGTGAGCTCCTTGACCATCTATTGGAGAAGAGAGCCCTAGTCATTTATGACAGATTTATTTATGCATACATGTTAAAGTCATTAGCGCTGTGTAATGTAAGTTAGGGACCTTAGATTGTGCACTCCTTGAGGGTTAGGAACTGATGTGAATGTACGATATATGTGTAAAGCGCTGTGTAAATGGACAGCTCTATATAAGTACCTGAAATAAATAATTAGTCCCAAGTTCAGTTTAAGGTCCCCCTCCCTAGTAGCACATTCTCACATTTCCATCATTTCCCTCTAGCTTCATTCAGCCATTGGATATAGAGAGAAATACCTGGTAGCTCCAGTGGTTTGGGGCAGCATAGTAACTAGCACTTCTACCTTGCAGCACTAGGATTCTTGGGTTAAATCCCAACCAGGACACAGCCTAAAATAAGCTTGCATTTGCTTCCTGGGCTTGCATGGGTTTCAACCCACACTATACAGACATTCCGGTAGGTAGAATAGCTCCTGTCTAACTTGACCCTTCTATGGCTATGTATGCATGTGAGGTAGGGACCTTCCATTGTAAGCTCTTTGAGGAGAGGGAATGATGTGAATAGGCAATATGTAAAGCACTGCGTAAAATTGTTGGTGCTATATAAATACTTCAGGGCTTTTTTTTCAGTGGGAACATGGGGGAACGCAATTCTAGCACCTCCAGCACGAGATGTCTGTAATAGCAAGGGGTGCTGGGGTGTGCTGGAGAGTCTATTGATGCTGGCTGCTGGGAGATCTATTGTTAGTGGTGAAGATCTATTTTTATCAGAGATGGGTCTATTGTTGCTGGGGAGGTCTATTGTTGCTGGTGGGTGATCTATTGTTATTGGGGATGGATCCTATGTTTCTGGGTTGTCAATTGTTGCTGGGGAGAATCTATTGCTGTACAGTGAAACAAAAAGAAAGCATACCAACCTTGCACATTACCTCTGTAAAATGTGATTTGATTGAATTTAAAATATACTCACAAACAGATAAGTGTATCAAGCATGTAAAGTCCTTAGCGAGACTCAAGGGGGTTTATTTACTAAAGCTGGAGAGTGTAAAATCAGACTCACTTCTGCATAGAAACCAATCAGCTTCCAGGTTTCATTGCCAAAGCTTCATTGAACAAGCTGAGGTTAGAAGCTGATTGGTTTCTATGCAGAAGGGAGTCTGATTTTGGACTCTCCAGCTTTAGTAAATAAACCCCAAGGAGTCTGAGACCAGTGTGAGTCTAATCATGAGGGAAGATTCTCAAAGTCAGGCTGTCACGTTTCAAAGGGTGTATGTATTCTGCTACATGTCTTTGGTTAAAAAAAAAAATCAAATAAGTGGATATGGAGTGGTTTGTGTGAACATTATAGCATCTACAAACTGCAGTGTATATATATTGTAATTTTTATTTATTTATTAATTTACTAGTAATGGCGGCAATCAGAAACCTGGGATTGTGATTGGGAGTGTGGTGGAAAATCTGACATTGAGTGGGAACTCACTAACTGACACTGACATCTCCAGTGACACTAATACAGTCATCAGTGATAATACTATACACTGTCACTGTACTAATGACACTGGCTGGGAAGGAGTTAACATCAAAGGAACAATCAAAGGGTTAACTGTGTGCCTAACTATGTGTAATGTGCATAATGCGTGCTGCTTTTTCTACTAGATGTATTTGTTTTTTCTCCTTGCTTTTCAGAGAGAAAAAATAGACACATTATTATTATTATTATTATACAGTATTTATAAAGCGCCAATAGTTCGCTCAGCGCTGTACATTACAAAGGGGGACAGAACATGTGACAGAACAATAACAATACAATGCAAAACATGAGGGGATCGAGGGCCCTGCTCCTTGGAGCTTACAATCTAGGAGGGAGGGGATAGTGGTACAGGAGGAGATAGCTGTGGGGGATGCAGTGGTAGGAAGAGTGGAGGAGGTCGGCAGGTTAGCAGGGGGTGGGGTAGGCTTCCCTGAAGAGATGGGTTTTCAGGGTGCGCCTAAAGGAGAGGAGAGTAGGTGATAATCTGATGGGTTGGGGCGTGTACAGAGCCCTGTGTTCTTAGTAAACACAGGGCTCTGTACTGTGATTTGCTAAGCAGATTACAGGTCCTAGCCATAGAAAATTGTCTGAGACCTTCTGATCGACTGGTGCGATAGCAAATGACTGCACAGACTGGGTGGTAGGCACTCGCCCCCTACCCGGAAATGTTGGGTCTTGTACATGTACATGATCCAACACATCAAGGCCACTCTGCCATAGTAAAACTGCAATAGATGGTCTGCAACTGGATAAAGCTACAAGCATGAAGTGAAAAAAAAAAAAATCACTTGAATGTATACAAAACAAAAAATCAGCAAGAACTCTGACTCTTGGTGAACCTCAGCAGATGAGGTTGATGGATGGATAATTCAGTGTATTTACATACTGAAAGACAGTGAACCTATATAGTGCTCACTGTTATTTTATTTAAAAAAAGCATACAAATAGAAAGCCACTCACATGTAGTAAGAGCAGACATGAGCATGTACAGTATAGCTTTCCTATCTGCAATTGACAGGGAGGATGCCATTAGATTGGATCTTTCTATACAAGCCTGTATTGTCCGCTTGCTCCCTCTCTCAGTATCGTGAAACCATGCCCCTAGGCCTTGACATCATCTGGAGGCCATCTGGCCAGCTGCTCAGGTTCTCCAAGAGTCAGAGTTCTTGCTAGGAAGGCAAGGAGTCCATCTGGTGTTGGAGCGCATATTGACCATTGTTGAGGATGTTCAATAAAGAGAGGTGAGAGTTTGCTCACAGGGAGTTCACTGTGGTGAAGGTGTTTTCTACTTGCATGTCCTTGCAGCACTTACTTAGGAGTGATGTACATAACTTTGTATGGGACTATTACATTCATCATTATATGGTTTCTTGCTGTTTTATTGTTTATGATTGTTCCTTTTAAATACATAAAACATTAGATCATAGATATTGGTTGCTACTCACCGATAAATGATTAGAGAAAGCACTGTATTTTTTCTTTCATATGTTTTAGAGCTATGGTTACAAGAAGGGTAGTGTGTGAGCTAGTGTTAGGATTGGGGATACAGGGAAGGTTAGAATTAATGTTAGTGCTAGGGATACAGGTTGGGTTAGTGCCCTAGGCTTTCAATTTTGGGCAGGCAGTGCCATCTTAATGCATGGGCACCCCTGGGCACTGTCCAGGGTCCCCATGACATAGTTGCTAACTGTCCCTTTTTTTAATCAGCTGTCCTGCAGTGGCTTTGTCCTAACCTAGGTCCCAGGACTGAAGCCCTGGGGACAGCTGCAGTACTGTATGGTGCCCAACACATAGTGGTAGTGGGGTGCCAGGTTCTGGAACTCTCTGGGTTCCAACACCCGGCACAGGAAGGAAGATTGCACTATGGGCGGAGCTATCTCCACCCCATTACAAGCAAAGTCATAGCCAAGAGAGGTACGAGGGAAACTGTGATCATATACTGTAGGCAGGGGTGGACTGACAACTCATGGGGCCCCTGGGCAATAGGGAATCATGGGGCCCCGTGTCCTTGTCCAAACTTAAAAAAGCCTATGAAAAAGGTACCAGGGGCATCTCATGGGGCCCCCTACTGACCCCGGGCCCTCGGGCAGTGCCCGAGTTTCCAAATGGTCAGTCCGCCCCTGACTGTAGGTGATCAGAATGGAGGAGAGGGCTACGACTGAGTAAAGGGTTAACATTCATTGCCATTGCAATTGATGCAGATGTGGAGGATTGGGGTTAATTTTCACTGTCATTACCACTAATACAGGAGTGGGGAATGGGGGGTGTTAAATTTCACCGCCATGACTACCAACGCAGGTGGGGGATGCGGGGGGTTAACTTTCACTTCCACTGCAGGTAACCCCCCACCTACTATGGTGGTCACGGTAGTGAAATTTAAGCTCATCATCCCTCTTTCTGCATTTGTGGTCATGACAGTGAAAGTTACCCCCCCCCCCAATGTTTTGCCGCAGCACGCTTTGCCATCTTCCCGGTAGGGGCCCCAGTGCATTACTTTGCTCAGGGGCCCATGATGCTATCAAGACGCCACCACTTGGCAATGTATATGGAAACTGAAAGATAATATCACTCAGTGACTATTGGCCTATATATGCACACAAGCCTCCTGCTTTCAGTTGACAGAGGAATGTATTTTGTATATAGAACCAATCATTCTTTTCTAGTGCAGATAAAGAAACTCTGATTCTTCTGATTACTTTTATGTTGGTGAAATTCAATGTGACCGGAGCATTCATCTTTGTTTTGTGGATACACTGTAATTGATGTGAAATATTTGGGAAAATAGGAGCTCTAGAAAAACCTGCTCCATTTATTGCCAAATGAGAATGAGTTACAATAGCAAATCTCGCAGTCAGATTTGTCATAACCTTGGTTTTACGAGCTAGTAAATAGCGTATGTTTGGGAAAAGTTGCATTGATCACTTCATTATATTTATGCCCCGTTCCTCGCAGCTGAATCTCTCAGAGAAAATTACTTTTTTGTTTCCTAGACATTGCTATGCCGCATTCCACAGCCATCCATTCATATAGCGGAATGTAAAACCTAAAACCGAAAAAATACATTATTATTTCCACCATTACCGCGTCTTTCAGGCTGCATGTGGCATCGTCTTTGTAAATGGAGAAATATTACTTTTTATTATTTTGTTTGCATATTTAGTCTGGGTATAACAGAAAAATATTCTTTCCTTAGCTGTTTTTTCCTGCCTGAGTAAAAAACTTTAATGAGGTTTTTTTTCTTTTTTTTTTTGTAGCAAAACAGTACAATACAACAAGCTTCAGTATATTTAAAGAGACAAAATATGATTTCTCCTCTTCCGTTTTCAGCCAAGCTGCTTGTTATCCCTACAGGAACCCAAGTGTGGACTCTACTTAGAAATATATAGAGGACTTGCAGGTTGGTGAAAAAGCAGCTTGGAAGTTTTGTTATTCTTTTTTATTTCGGAAAGCTATATTCGTTTTAACATAATTAATTAATAAATACATATTCTTTCTGTATGTTATTAAGTTGAATTAATTTCCCCATTCCGAACTGACTGAGCGCACATACAAATTAAAAAAATGATCTCTCAAGTTCAACCCCAATACAAAAAGAATCTTAATACAGTATTTAAATTGTTACTAAACCCACAACATTAAAATCAGTCTGTATATGCAGTAAAGCATGCTTGTTATACTCACTGTGGTACCTAAGGGGTTAATCCTCTGCATTGTGTAAAAACACTGTTTGATCCTGACTTCTATGATCCTCCCCTTCTTACAGTGTTACCCTCTTATCTCCTGATAAGACATATCATGTGGAGTCACTCTGCACATGCTCAGTTTGGTGTGTATTGCTAGAGAGGGCTTTTTTTCTTCTTGGGAGGGTGCAGGTGATCAGCACAGGGCCAATCAGCACTGTCCAGACAGAGGTCAGGGGTTTTGCAGCCTCCTAGTACAAAATGAAAACTCCTCCTATAAGCTTTAACATGTGCTCGGCTGGACACTGATAGAAGTCACAAGACTGCTCTAACTGCTGATGAGAAAAGGTATTTAACAGTATATAGTTACTAAAATAATTGCATTTCCATGTTGTGTGTACTGTGGGACACCAGATATAGTGAATGCAGGGTCCGGGGAGACCAGATATAGTGAATGCAGGGTCCGGGGAGACCAGATATAGTGAATGCAGGGTCCGGGGAGACCAGATATAGTGAATGCAGGGTCTGGGGGACCAGATATAGTGAATGCAGGGTCCGAGGAGACCAGATATAGTGAATGCAGGGTCCGGGGAGACCAGATATAGTGAATGCAGGGTCCAGGAGACCAGATATAGTGAATGCAGGGTCCAGGAGACCAGATATAGTGAATGCAGGGTCCGGGGAGACCAGATATACAGTCAGGTCCATAAATATTGGGACATCGACACAATTCTAACATTTTTGGCTCTATACACATCCACAATGGATTTGAAATAAAACGAACAAGATGTGCTTTAACTGCAGACTGTCAGCTTTAATTTGAGGGTATTTACATCCAAATCAGGTGAACGGTGTAGGAATTACAACAGTTTGCATATGTGCCTCCCACTTGTTAAGAGACCAAAAGTAATGGAGAATAATAATCATAAATCAAACTTTCACTTTTTAATACTTTATTGCAAATCCTTTGCAGTCAATTACAGCCTGAAGTCTGGAACGCATAGACATCACCAGACGCTGGGTTTCATCCCTGGTGATGCTCTGCCAGGCCTCTACTGCAACTGTCTTCAGTTCCTGCTTGTTCTTGGGGCATTTTCCCTTCAGTTTTGTCTTCAGCAAGTGAAATGCATGCTCAATCATATTCAGGTCAGGTGATTGACTTGGCCATTGCATAACATTCCACTTCTTTCCCTTAAAAAACTCTTTGGTTGCTTTTGCAGTCTGCTTTGGGTCATTGTCCATCTGCACTGTGAAGCGGCATCCAATGAGTTCTGAAGCATTTGGCTGAATATGAGAAGATAATATTGCCCGAAACACTTCAGAATTCATCCTGCTGCTTTGTCAGCAGTCACATCATCAATAAATACAAGAGAACCAGTTCCATTGGCAGCCATACATGCCCACGCCATGACACCCCCCACCACCATGCTTCACTGATGAGGTGGTATGCTTAGGATCATGAGCGGTTCCTTTCCTTCTCCATACTCTCTCTTCCCATCACTCTGGTACAAGTTGATCTTGGTCTCATCTGTCCATAGGATGTTGTTCCAGAACTGTGAAGGCTTTTTTAGATGTCGTTTGGCAAACTCTAATCTGGCCTTCCTGTTTTTGAGGCTCACCAATGGTTTACATCTTGTGGTGAACCCTCTGTATTCACTTTGGTGAAGTCTTCTCTTGATTGTTGACTTTGACACACACACCTACCTCCTGGAGAGTGTTCTTGATCTGGCCAACTGTTGTGAAGGGTGTTTTCTTCACCAGGGAAAGAATTCTTCGGTCATCCACCACAGTTGTTTTCCAAGGTCTTTCGGGTCTTTTGGTGTTGCTGAGCTCACCGGTGCGTTCCTTCTTTTTAAGAATGTTCCAAACAGTTGTTTTGGCCACGTCTAATGTTTTTGCTATCTCTCTGATGGGTTTGTTTTGTTTTTTTCAGCCTAATGATGGCTTGCTTCACTGATAGTGACAGCTCTTTGGATCTCATCTTGAGAGTTGACAGCAACAGGTTCCAAATGCAAATAGCACACTTGAAATGAACTCTGGACCTTTTATCTGCTCATTGTAATTGGGATAATGAGGGAATAACACACACCTGGCCATGGGACAGCTGAGAAGCCAATTGTCCCATTACTTTTGGTCCCTTAACAAGTGGGAGGCACATATGCAAACTGTTGTAATTCCTACGCTGTTCACCTGATTTGGATGTAAATACCCTCAAATTAAAGCTGACAGTCTGCAGCTAAAGCACATCTTGTTTGTTTCATTTCAAATCCATTGTGGTGGTGTATGGAGTCAAAAATGTTAGAATTGCGTCGATGTCCCAATATTTATGGACCTGACTGTAGTGAATGCAGGGTCCTGGGAGACCAGATATAGTGAATGCAGGGTCCAGGAGACCAGATATAGTGAATGCAGAGTCCGGGGAGACCAGATATAGTGAATGCAGGGTCCGGGGAGACCAGATATAGTGAATGCAGGGTCCGGGGAAACCAGATATAGTGAATAAACTAATAAATATACTTTTTGTGATAAACTTACCAATAATCCCAATCTATCTCAAAATTTCAATAAACCCACATAATCCAAAAGGTGATAATCAAATCTGAATTAATATAATAATAAATCTCCCTCTAATATATATTCAAAATCATCAAATATACCAATCAAAATTACAAAAATAAAATAAAATAAAATGTATATAAAAGTGTCCAAATCACCAAAAAATTAATAATAATAATAATAATAAGTGTCCAAATCGCCAAAAAGGTGTGTAATATAAATAAATAAATGTCCAAAAATCCCAAGAAAAACAAAAACGTTCTTTATGTGTTCAGTGAAGCAAGACGATACTCCAAAAATGCCTTGTTATCCTCAAAAGTAAAAAGAAAAATATATCATAGTGTAATATCCTCAAACATATATATATGCTTCACACTGTGCAAAACTCAAATCACACCAAAAAATAGTGAAAAATCAATAAATCAAAATAAACGTGAGAACTCGTGATCACTCCAATCTCAGGTGAATAGTGATACTAGGTACCAATATCCTATATACTCCAGCCAAAGTAGATGCTAAATACCATTACCCTCTTATGGTATATTCAGGCATATACTGTTAGATAGGAAAGCCATTCCTCCATCACTCTTATCCCGGGGTATTCCTCATATGGACAAAGAGAAGGCTCAATCAGGCAGATTTCATAAAAAGATATAAATTTATTCCACACTTACATGTAAAAATCACTTTATCCAGCTCTCTGTACTGCACATTTCAATCTCTGGTTGAAAAAACGATTGTTTCCAACCGACAAAATGGCCGCGGCGACACTTCCGGTTAGCGTGCGTGCGTGATGACGTCACTCTCCTAACGCGTTTCGTCACTTCCGGACTACATCTGAAGGGATCCCTTCAGATGAAGTCCGGAAGTGACGAAACGCGTTAGGGGA